AATACTTTAACTGTTTCATTGAATTAATTATACAGTGTCACATTTTACTGTGTTTTGGCTAAACTACAAATATCAAGCTTCTATGTTAATCAAGACCTAGAAATCAACCCCATCATGTGAGACGTGTTGTGTCCCTGCTGCTGCATATGGAAGCTGAGGCCTTGGGCAGAAGACTGACCCCCGTCTCTGGTCATCTCCCAAAACCTGATTGTCACTCTGCCTGGCACCGACAGAGGGTCCTTAAACTGGGCGGTGACGTTGACAGGAGCTGTGATGACGCCAACGCCTGATGACACAACAGAGCAATGACGAGGTCTGACCACTGAAAACACTCGCACAATAAATATATGACTATTGACCTTTTTCACTGCAGACATTTTGCCTTGCCTGCTCGCTGTTCACAGCAAATATAAAAGCTCTGATGAACTGGCTGCATGTTAAATTACTACAATGTTACGTCAAGCTATCAGTCAGTTTGGTCTACCCATAAAATGTATTACCTTTGTGTTTTTCTATTTCAGCCAAGCAGACAGACAGCATCCAGAGACTCGGGGAGGTCTGGGATCTGTAGTCAAAGAGCGTGGCCGGTAGGGAGAGGAGCCGATAGGGGGAGAAGTCAGACAGGGACCACAGACACTGCAGACCGGCAGTCCTGGGAACCCTGAGCTCAACCTGCTTCACATTCTCTGGCACAGGCTCATCTGGCTGGCCTGTCAGAACAAGGAAACAGAAGCAGAAAGAGTCTGAGTGGGCACTCATGTATGTTACATCCTAATCTCTAAACTAAGTGTGCTATTGGGAAACATTAAACGCAAGGCAGCCACTGTACAAAGGCTCCTGTTGTAATAAGGCATTCTGAGTGTAAATCTCAATGCTGTTACTCACTCTCATTTTCTTTTCTTGGTTGGCATCTGTTGGCTTTGTGCAGCTTGTTATTGGACAGCAGTGTCAGGATGCTCTCCCACACTGGGCATCCTGTACGAGAAGTGGCAGACAGACACACATCCACCTGCACCCCTGCGTCAGTTTGCCGGTACTCCAGGACTCGAACTTGCAGCATGAACGGGCCCTTCTTCAGTTCGTCAACTGGCTGAAGGGTTTTCAGACTCTGACGCACACGAACAAGACCTGCGGAAGTAATTCACAATCATTTTCCAAGCTTTTATTATAAACTCACCAATAAAACATGGACTTACAGCAGTGGGAATAAACTCAATGTAATCTACTGGTGCAAAAAGCCTCTGCAAAACCACAAGCTGGAGCTAAAAAGAGACTCTCTGAATGTGTCTGACCTGCTGGGCTGAGGCTGAACTTCTCATCAGTCAGCAGCATAAGCAGCAGTCTGTCACAGAGGAACTCTGGGAAGCACAGTGGGATGTCTCTGTACTCGGTGTCTGGGTAATCCCAGCCATACCCTGCAGCACTGCAGAACCTCCTCAACAGGGGAGTCTCCAGCCTTATGCAGACAAATACACCGGGTCAACACGGGTAGGACGGGCAGCCAGCTCGGTGCACACAGTTGAATAAGCCTCCTCGTTAGACGCTCACCTGCAGTTGAGGACCGTGTACACAACCTCAGTCCTCTGTGGAGCTGCTGTGTACAGGCAGCCTGTCCTCCGAGTCACAGCTCTGCTCACATATCTGATGTAAAGGTACACAAAACTCGGAAGCCTCTCGTTGTTGAGCACATTGGTCTTCAACAACTTATGGGAACAGTAAATGTAAACATAAACAACATACACAGAGCACGCAGTGAGAGAGGCAACAGCGTAACTGCGCATTCCCCATTACTGACACAGCATTATTATCGCTCGGCAGCTCGGGATATATACACACATACACACATATACTGCCAATGGTCGGGACCATAAAGCCAACACACGATCACTGTGTGTGACGCTGGTTAGAAGTACGGAGTGCGACTTGGGACAAACAACACGCCCTCGACTATTTGAGGAAATGAAAGGCGTTAGCACACTTAGTGAACTTAAACTCTTTTCGTTCGATCATTTCAACAACAACAGCATGTATTCAAGAGTTTATTTACATGTTTTCAGTGTAGAAATCACAAACACAAACAGTCAGTTATGTTATTCTCAGAAAGGCGTAAAAACATTTATTTCAATCAAAAATGAAGTGGTGACTCCTCAGCATTGTATTGTGCTTTTCAAAATAAGAGGGGAAATAACCGTTCTTCATTTAGTTATTTTGAATGACGACGCTCTATGAAACAGGCCTTCACAAGTATCCCCTGTGTTAAAATAACAAATGATAACATTCATATTCAGGCTGACAGGAGACATTCTGTGTGTCAAAGAGACAAAATCTGTTTCTTCAGAAGGGTTCCTGAGGTGCTGGAGATGTTCTCCTGACAGCAGACTGGTTGGTCCATCTTCACTCGCTCCTCTTCATCCAAACAGAAGCAGCAGTACAATGCACACTGAATTCACTGCAATCAACGGCACTGCGGGGCACAGAAAGACAAGATCACAAGATCAGAGCCAGGAGGGCTCCCACGAGGTTTCCGTGTCACTCAGCCTTGTATAGACTGTGTGTGTGTGTGTGTGTGTGTGTGTGTGTGTGTGGTAGAGTCAACACCCACCTCTCATCACTGTCCTCACAGAGCGGATAAGGTTCATTAGCTGCACTTTGATGCCTGGTTCATCTCCGAAACCTCCCACACTTTGGTCCACACCCCAGCCAACTAATGGTTCAGACAGACAGATTTGACTGAGTACTGTTTTCCTTAAGTGTATTTTTGTCAAATACGGTTAAAATGTATTGTATATGTATTTCCCCACCTTTAGTTAAGCCTAAAATATGAGATTGTTGTGCATCCCTTTTTAAATAAAGTTGTTTTGAAGCTTTCTAGAGCTCAGGATATTGTAACAAATACTAAACTATAACGTTAGATTTAAACAGTGACTGACACATTGAACCGCTCATTACAGGCAGGTACAACTATGAATCACCCTTCATACATCCCAAATACTTTAATGCTCTTATAAATGTACGTTAGCTGTGAGGTTACCAGATAGTTAGCATTAGCTATGCTAGCTGTTTGGACTTTCGCATTTGCAGTTTGAACTCCAGCCACTTACTTTTACTCAGAAACCGTTCTTCATGCAATACAGCGACAGCATTGACGCACAGGATTGCTGCCTGAATAAGAGAGTACAAAGTAAACGCCATGCTGTCTTTATGAGTACCTAACGTTAGCTAATGACACTATTTACTTCTGACGTAGCCTACGGTGGCTGAGGAAGGTCAAACCTAATGGCAGCTTGTCGCTTGTCAGACAGGTAACAGACACAGGAAAGTGCAGTTACCTTATGAACAACCGTGGTGGAGGAAGTATTCAGTCAATATAGCAACATGACTCTATAATAAAACTGTATTACTAGTAAGAAGTTTCACATTGAAAATGTCACCTCAGTAGAAGTACAGGGAAGTATTATCAGCTAAAGTAGACAGAATGTCAGTGTTATTATATTATTGGACCATTAATATGTAAGACGTAATTTAATGTTGTAGTTGGTTGAGGTGTAGCTGATTTTAATTGCTTTATTTACATTGGATGGTTTAATTTATGACGATGCATCAGACTTTATAAATTATTATGTACAACCATAATCTGACAGGTAACTTGTAACTAAAGTTGTGAAACAAATGTTGAGTAAAATGTAGAAACATTAAGTACTGTGAACATGGAAACACTCAAGTAGAATACACATACCTCAAAATTTTCAGAGGTGCTGTAGAAGTACTCTCACCCTTTACTTTAGTAATAACACAATGGAAAAATATTCAATTTCAAGAATGCAAATTCAAAATCACATTAAAATACAATTACCATTATCTAATAGATAAACATTACCAGCAAAATATGTGTAATCATTATTGGGGTAATAGTTTAAATAGTATGAAGATGTAAGAAATGAATCATTTTATATATGCTACTTGTAGGTAACTAGTAGAACCTCAAATATGCACTTAGGTACAGTATTTGAGTGAATGTACTTTATTACTTTCCTCCACTGCTTAGCAATTGTAGACAGCAACCATTAGTACACACTCACCATTGTAACTTTACAAGAGGGTTATGTTGCCAGATGCACTAAGTTAAACCAAGATTAACAATGTAGACTAAATCCATCTTTGTTTTAATAAATATCCCCAATATCTACAATCAGGAAACACACACATACAAACAGAATCATGAGAATAAAAATCTTTATTAGTGTTTTATGAAGTCTGCATAATATGCCACACGCCTGAGAAGCTTATGGTCAGAAAAAAAAAAAAAAAAAGAACTGCTCTATCAATACCGCCCTCTACTGGTAAAACAACTGCGACATCTACTGTACTGACTGCTTTGCAAAAAGATTACTGTTAAATACACACATACTGTACTACTGTTATGTATATGTACGTCTGGTCCACGTCAGTTTTTGTAATGTATTTTTTCACATTCATATGTTGTAGGCCAAAGATAAAAACAATGTAACACTGGACCCTAACACATGGTTCAGTTCCCCAAATCCAAACCTCACTAGGTGCACTTAAAGTACAATCACTAGTGCCATAAGGTAAACACATTTACATCAAAAAGAAGGGGGGGGNNGGGGGGGGGGGGGGGGGAAGACTCGCAACAGCCACATAATGACAATAATGGCAGAGTTTAAGCTAATTAGTCTTGTTGTACATACTGTATTTTATAGACAAAACAAATACAATACACACATTAACACAGAATGTCCCAGTGTGCAGGCATTCGCTCTTCTGTTCACATGGAAGAAAACTGCTCTCCTCCCATGTTTCTGTAACATTTTAAAAGCCAATTACATCTGGTGGACCTTAACCCGCTTGACTAAGCACCAAAAGGCTACAAGAGGTCACGTGTGTTTTTCAAAAAAAGTGAAGAGATGAATGAATGAATGGCCATCACAAAGTTTTACATGCGTCTGGAATCATTAAAATCATGACAGGAAGATTTAGGGTTTCAGGCAAATTTGTTGTTTTGTGTACTTTAAATGCACCAGATATCTTTGGAAAAACAAAGGATAGAAACAGGCTACACATCATGTGGGGCAGTGAAATGTTTCTTTTTTTTTTTTTTTAACCAAGACAAAGAGCTGCAATTGGAAATGAATTCAAACAAAACCTTTTGGGTCGAACAAAGGAATGATCCATGCCCTCCATGTCACTTTAGAAACAGCTGTGGTCTTGAAAATATTACTTTAATAAAAAGTGAACGACAGAAATTTTTAAGTATATTTATATATAAAAATACATGAGAATACAAAAAAGTAGCAAAACAATGGGGATATAGGCTAAAAACAGAATGAATTCATTGATACCTTCAATTTCTCCTGGTGAGACTGTTAATGCTTCACCTCGGAGAGCCCCAGGACTCCCAGTGTCGTGTCAAAAAGAGAGAGGAAAAAAAAAAGCTTTCGATAACTGCTGATATTCTCTGGTCCCTGCCCAGTGCACCTCGCAAAGCCTGGTCAACTCATTAGCTTCCATACCAGGCTGTTCAGTGGGGATGTAAATCAACTAAACCAAGGACACATAGAGTGCCATATAATGACAAATCAATAAACTACAGCCTGATCGAGCTTGCAGTTGGTTTGGGGTTTTGAATTATTATTTTTTAAACTAACATTCCTATTTGTCCATTAAGAAGTATGTCTTATAACGACACACGTCGAGAGTTACAAAAAGGGCCATTCTGGCAATTCAATCAAATTTCATAAACACACTGTGGCGTTTCCTTCAGAGGAGAACGGCCACCAAGGCCATCGTTTCTTCACCAAGCCACCTCCCCCTGACAAAAGATGGGGCCAAGTTTCCCAGAGAAACATAAACTTAGGTTCAGAACAATGGTTGGGGTGGGCTGGAACTAAAATCATTTTAGCATTCAAGCTCGTGTTACTCATACAAGCAATCTTCAATACTGAGAAACTATTCACAGATATTTTTGGTATTTCCCCTACTTCCTGGACTAAAAACCAATATACATTTTATTTGTACCACAAATAGATCTAATATTAAGGATTTGGGGAAAAGCAATTTAACAAGGTGCATGACATCGATGGGTAACAAAGTGCCAAATTCTTTACTGAAAAGTCTGTATGTGTGTGTATGTGAGTGCGACAGTGTGGGTGCGTTTGTTCTTTTGTTTGTGTGTGTGTAAAGTTAAAAGAGGGATGTGGAACTGGGCCACAAATACTATGAAGAATGTTACAGAAAATTCATTCTGTGGGGTTTCCATTTTTTTTTTTTCATGAAAGGACTCACAACTTTAGAATTTAATGATAATGTAATGGGCTGCGTTTTTTTGGGGCGTTTCCATAGCTGTTTAGGACATACTGGAGCAGCGTGCAGACGGGGAACCCATCTGGGTCAGAACCTTGTCCAGCCACTGCAGGGGACCGTTCAAATGCAGCTCGATCCAGCAAGGAGTGCTTGTGACAGTCTGCCGCCTGGAGAACAGAGACACACTTATTAATGCCTGGGCTGCGCTGAACCTAGCATTTACACTCCATACAACACATGACTTATGATGATTCATGCTGTGCTTTATTATGCACAGTATGTATTAGTGCTGCTAGGAAGAGGGTGTCGTGGTTTGTAGGTCTCCACTTGAAACTTTATTGTTAAGATAAAAATCCTTCCACTCTAAACAAGAAACACCCCTATGCTGTCATTAATGACAGAAGCTAAATTCTCAAAGCGATGCTACTACTGAAGAGTTCGTGAGGCATCCTCATAATCAATTCCTTAACTATACATTTCAGATCAATTTTCCATGTCTTGACAGGTAAACAATTATACACTGGTACAAACAGTCAAAATTAGTAAAGTGCTTTCCACGTTACTAATTAAAACGTGAATATAGAATATTTGAATTAAAGTGT